TCCTGGGCGTTTTTTTTTTTTTTTGAGTCCCAAAAGGACGACATGTCCAAGAAAAAGATACACACAAACTCACTTCCCTGTTAGACACAGTGTACTTTTCTTTCATCTGTGGTTAAATACACTGTGAGGACTGTACAGGCTGGTGACAGCAGAGAAAAAGCTTTCTGAACGAGACACAGACAGACCCAGACTCACCTGCAGACCAGACTCACCTGCAGACACAGACTCACCTGCAGACACAGACTCACCTGCAGACACAGACTCACCTGCAGACAGACACAGACTCACCTGCAGACAGACACAGACTCACCTGCACCTGACCTGCTCAATGCTGTTTATCATTCACAGAACAATTACGGGTCTCCAGCAAAACTACTGTTCTAAATACTACTACTACTAACACACCTACTACTTACAATGGAAGCACTACAGTTAATAGCAGCACCTCCCAGCCAACCACTCCGACAGGTAAGTGAGGGACTTCATCAGGAGCAGCATTATTCAAGTAAAAATACTCTTTGATTTTGGTTTTGTTCAGACCAGGTTAAGACCAACACATACCCAATAAATTTCACAATACTAATACTGCTACTATTACTACACTAGACTATTATTCCCAAAGTAAAACCATCTATGTTTTTCACTAAGTTTCATGTGTCTCCTCCAAGGGTCTAACAACACTGACATCTCCAGCATTTTATCCCAGATCCAGCAGCTGCTGATCCAGTCACAGGTCAGTAGAGGGCGCTAGTAGCAGCAGCACAAGTAGTAGTACTAGTAATAGTAATAGTACTAGTAGAAGTAGCAAATTCTAGTAACAGCAGCAGCAGCAGCAGCAGCAGCAGCAGCAGCAGCAGCAGCAGAGTTTTCAGGAGTTGTGGAGGCAGCAGATGTAAACACTTCTCTTCATATCCCTTCATGTTACTGAAAGGGTTGTCGACTATCCCAGAAAAAAAATACATAACACACAAAGCCTGTGTATTTGTAATTTATTTTATATATTTTATTATATATTCCATTTTATTGTGCTGAATGAATAGTATAGTATACTGTTTGTGATCTAATGGTATATGCAGTACATTAAAACTACCTGGATGCCCTCCCACATGCTCCCCTCACTCCCCTCCCCTGCTCCCTGTATGAACTCAGCCTAAAGCAGCACTTCTACACACCTCCATTTCATTTTGTGACCAACTTATTCCCATTGTGCTGCTTTGGTTAGTTAATAAAGTTAGTCACCAGAACTATCAGAGCTCTCGCTCTGCACATGAACAAATGTGTTCTGTTTCACTTCAATACGGACAAAGATTCTGTTTTCCAATTATGGAGCGATTCCACATTTTATGTAGCAGAAGAAGAAGAAGTTGGATCTTATAAATGCAGTCAGAACACAGCACTCAAACTATTATAATATTAACAGTAACAGTATCTTGCCTCCAGTCTTTGCGGGAAACCAATTGTGGGGCGTGCTGTGCCTAAATATCGGGTGGAGTAGGTGCAAGTGCGAGTGTGATGTGACACGTTAAGAGAATTGCCAGAATGATAAACTAGTCCACTGAAAAACAACATATGTAACATATTCAAGGCATAAAAAGTCGTCTTTTATTTTATAAATATATGATAAATGCATAACATTCATATGTTCGTGCACCATCCGGATGCCCTGCTGCAGCAGAGCACAGCCCCGCGGCCGCTTCCTGTATCGGCTCAGTTCTGCTCTATAGTTTGGTTTAATCACAATCTGTACATAAGATGCTCATTCACATGAGGTCATTGAGCACTATCCTAAAGTGTGTTTTCTTACCCTGTCTGCAGGGTACTGCTCATAGTGCGGCACCTTCTTCTATAAGCGCAGGTCGTGCAGTGACCCTCCCCGTGTGTTAATAGTTTAAACTAGGTCCGTGCGCAAAGCAGTAGAATCAGAAACATTTATATGACAATAAACATTTTCCATAATTCTCTGACCTGTTTGGGACCAGATCCAGTGGACACCCATGAGACTAGAATGCAAACGTTCTGCAGTAGCAGCAGTGGAAACTTGTACCTCAGATGTGAGACATGGGACAGGCGGGAACAGGAGCGTTCAGGGGGAGAGAGGAGATTAGTGGGTCTTATGTGGGCTGGGAGGTGCACAAGAAAGACACCGCTCTGCTGTGTAACGGGAGGCACAAGAACGTAGGAACACAGAGAAAACTGGCTGACGTGAGTGAACACAGAACACAAGCACAGCCAGTTCTGTGACGGCCCATCCAAAATTCTATAATCGTGGTGCCTCTCCTGGTGCGTACTTGTGTCATGGGGCTCTGGAGTTGTACCCATATATTTTTTTTTCCCCCTTTTTTCCCCACACCCCTCTTTTCATAATTTTGTAATGAAGACTGCAGACAGTACCCACGCTGGCAATGATTTTAAATGCCACACCATATATGTACTTGTACTGTCCCACTCCAACCCCCAGCAGTACAGCCCAACCTACAACACCCTCTCATTAACAGTTGCGCTTTTGCAAAGACTGGTGGTAAGATAGGGCCTTATATTTTATTGAAGTTTTTTTTGCCCCCTGTAATTTTATTATTGACAAATTTAACAGTAGACTACAGTCAGCTCTGGATCTGGTTGCTCCACTCACAACTAAAAACATCAAAACAAACTAAAACCTCCATGGAGAAGTGAAGATTTGACAAAATCCAAGAGGGAGTGCAGAACGGAGATGGAGAAAAAACAAAATTACAATAAACCACCAGTTATTCAGAGATCAACAACAGACCTACAAGAAAGCAATAAAAAATGCTAGAAACCTCTATTTCTCCACAATAATCTCCAACCACAAAAATAATCCAAAAGTTTTCTTTTCAACCATTGACAACATCTTAAACCCTGATTTTAGCACGTTTTACTTGACACCCACTGACTCTCTCTGTGAGCAATTTGCAAACCACTTCATGGGAAAGATAAACACTATAAGATATGATATTTTATCTTGTCAAAGCTCTGTTTTAGTACATTTGAGTGTTTGTCTAGACCAGAGGAAACACTGGACAGTTTTGTCCTGGTTAATGCTGAGATGTTGGACAAAGTTTTCTCCTCAGTGAGGCCCACCACATGTCTTTTAGATCCAATCCCTACCCCATTTTTTAAGTAATTTTATGGATCTTTTAGGGATGAGCTTTTATCCATGATGAATTGCTCTCTTCAGACGGGGGTCTTTCCCACTGCCTTCAAAACTGCAGTGGTGAGGCCCCTGCTGAAGAAGAGCAATTTAGATTTTAATGATTTTAACAACTACCGACCAGTGTCAAACTTACCATTTTTAAGCAAACTTTTAGAAAAACTTGTTTTTATCCAACTAAATAATTTTTTAGACAATCACAACATTTTGGAAAAATTTCAGTCTGGTTTTAGGGTGAACTACAGCACCAAGACTGCCCTGGCAAAGATTTTAAATGATTTTAAAATGTGATTCAACACACACGACACAAAAAGTGACCGTGTTGGTTCTACTGGATCTGAGCGCTGTCTTTGATACAGTAGACCACACTATTCTTTTAACTTGCCTAAAAGACCTCGGGCTCTCCGGTGCTGTTCACAAATGGTTCACATCCTACCTCACAGACAGAACATTTATGGTGAGTGTAGACACATGCTCCTCCAAGGTCCATAAAATTACATGTGGTGTGCCCCAGGGCTCCATTTTAGGCCCTGTGCTTTTTAACTTGTACATGCTCCCTCTTGGTGGTGTCATCAGGAAACATGGAATCAACTTCCACAACTACGCAGATGATACGCAGCTTTACATTTCAATGTCTCCCGATGACACCAGACTAATGGATGCTCTTTTTAACTGCATTCTACAAATTAGATCTTGGATAGCAGAAAAATTTCTCCAGCTTAACCAGGACAAAACTGAGGTTTTAGTCATTGGTCCTGAGGCCCAGAGATAGAAACTTTTACCCAAACTACAAGCACAGTGTTTTAACCCATTTCCTCAAGTGAAAATCCTGGGCGTCATTTTTGACTCTGAGCTGACTTTTATCCCACACATTAAGAACATCACAAAAATTGTTTTTTATCACCTAAAAACATAGCCAGAGTCCGCCCCATTCTCTCTCTGGCCAACATGGAGACACTGATGCTTTTATCACCAGTTGAATAGACGACTGTAATGTCCTGCTCTCTGGTCTTCCCAAAAAAGTATTTCAGGTTTGCAATTATTACAACATTCAGCAGCATGTGTCCTGACGAGGACCAGAGGGCGGGACCACATTACACCGATTTTAAAATCACTGCATTGGCTCCCTGTGAGTTTCAGGATCGATTTTAAAGTTCTTTTACTGGTTTTTAAATGTCTTAATGGTCTTGGGCCTTCTTATCTTTCAGAACTGCTTTTACCCTACGAACCCTCGTGGACCCTGCGCTCCTCCGGCAGCAGGCTCCTGGTCATTCCCAAAGTCAGGACACACACTCACAGAGAGGCGTCTTTTCTGTACTATGGCCCTAGTCTATGGAACTGCAGCCGGAGGAGCTCAGGACCAAAGAGAACGTTCATGTTTTTAAGAGAAGGCTCAAGACCCACCTTTTTAGTTTAGCTTTTGATTGAAATCTTATACTTTTACTTGTTTCTAGTGTATATATTTTATTATATTTATTTATTTGTGGCATATTTTTAGGATTTCCAGTGTTTCCTCTGTAGGAGCCTCTGCATCAGGAGCAGAGGTCGGCTGTGGCTGCCGGGTTCTGTCCCGTGGGCTCCTGGTGGAGGGTTGGTGCTTGGGCTTCATCTCTCCCCTGGGCCCTGTGATGGTTCCTGGTGGTGGCGGACGTCTCTCTACTGCTGATGTAGACGGCTCCTCTGATGGTGCTTTCTCAACTGGTTCACCTGTATTCAGCCTCACATTTTACTATGTGTCGTTTTATTTATTTTACCGTGTTAGTGTGTGTGTGTGTTAGTGTGTGTGTGTGTGTGTGTGTGTTGGGGTGTGTGTGTGAGTGTGTGTTAGGGTTGTCTAGTTGGGTGGGGTCGGGCAGGTGTGGGCATTGTTTTGGTGGGTGGGTTATAAATAAAGTTTGATTTGATTTGATATATGTTTTGTATTGCATCACCAGAGTTTGGACCCTATGATATGGAATATGGACACACGACTGGAGATGCTTTTTGATTATCTCAATCAAAATGTTTCATATCTTCAAAAAGAAGATCAGATTACGGCTACCACCATCTTGGCAGTTGTTGACATCCTTAAAGAGACCTCTGTTGTTAGGACTAATGTCACTGCTCGACTCATGAAGGTGCTGATGCCTGGTTTGAGTAGATATTACATAAAATATCATTACATTTAAACAGTATCACTGATGCTCCTCTTTTGTCTGTAGAATGTTCTGAAGACAGTGGATGTCCTTGTTTCTGAGGAGGCATTCGGCTCCTGGCACTCTCTGTCTCCAAACAGCGGCTTCAATGCCACCTCCAACCTCCTGAGGGCACTGGAGGATCTGTCAGCATCTTTAGAAGGAGAGATCTCCATCTCCACTCCACACATACAGCTGAAAAAAAGCAGCTTCAACAGACCTTACACAGAAGACCTGAGCCCCACTGTTTATATTGAGATCCCAGGCACACAGAGAGATCCCAGACAGACAGGTGCCTTCATCACCACCATGACCTTCTCCACACTGGGCGCTCTGACGCCCTCCCCTGTCCTCCCATACTCAGACAACGGTACCATCAAAACAGACGTGGTCCTGGTCACAGTTCCTTATCAGCAGATCCATGACGTGGATGTGAGGTTCAAGATGAAGACCTTCTCTTCAAGTTTGCACCGCTGTGTGCACTGGGACCATAAGCTGAAGGGATGGACCGATAATGGATGTTACACTAAAAGAAAAGACGACAGTGTGTTTTGTAACTGCAGTCGCCTCAGCAGTTTCTCAGTTCTGGACACTTACATTCATATACCTTTTAGAGAATATGGATATAGCACACATGTTTTATTAGGAGCCGGAGTAAATGCATTCTGCATTCTGATATGCTTCTTACTGGAGGGATGTTTTTGGAATTACATAAGTACAAACCCCACCTCTCTGATGAGACATGTGACCATCATAAACACGGCCCTCTGCCTGCTGGTGGAAGACTGTATCCTCATCTCTTTATCGTATGATTCTGTCACCTTTTCCAATCACTGGGAATGTGGCTCCTTAATATTTTTCTGGAACTTTTTTGACTTTTCCTATTTCTTCTGGATGCTCGTTTCATGCCTGCTGCTTTTCTGCACAACTTCCTTGACCTTCTCCCACATGTCCAATGTTAAAATGTTCACCTTTGGTTTTGCTGTGGGGTACGGAGCCTCCACTGCTGATGGCCACCATCACAGTAGCCTTCACAGCACCACAAGGCCTGTATGTCACTGAGGACGGCTTGTGTTTACTGGTCAAAGGAAGCTCCAAGACTTTTTTGTACTTGGCTGTACCAGTGCTGACCATAGTGCTGGCCAACTTTGTGCCGCTCAGTGTGGTTCTGTCCAGAATAGTCCGCAATAGCAGAGCGGTTTTCAGGGTGGCTAATGGCAAACTACTGGTACGCCTGGTCTTTCTTCTGATCTCCTTCCTGTTGTTTGGGCTGCCTCGTGTAATTGCCCTGTTTCAATTCAATGTGTCTTCTGGATCAACTGCATCCAAGAGATTGTACATCACCTTTGCAATCTTCAATTCACTTCAGGTGTGTAGATAACAGGCTTGTGTTGTTTTAAAGAGCCAAAAGTGTCCCTCCTCTGTGTCCTGCAGCATCACAGCAGCCTCCAGGGGGCGCCAGGCGAACACAGCAGGAAAAGTCTCACTCTCAGTCCGCTCTGGTGTTTCAGTCGCTGATGAAATGGTTGTGGAAAGTGGAAAAACAAACCCACAATCCAACAGTCCTTTACTTGTGACCTTTGAACTGCACATGCTGCACTTCTTAATTGGTCAAAATCCCATGATATGATGTTAAAAACTGAGCTCAAAAAAGAAAAAAATGTTTCATGTGAGGCAAGTAGCCACAAAAGCACCACCACAGTTGCCACCACATATGATCCATGTTATGTTGCTGTATTTTCATCAAAAACAGACCTGGAGTTGAGTTTTGGTTCATTCACACATGTTTAACATATTTAGACAGAGTTCAGAAAACATTCTGTTCGACCTTGTGATGTCATATGATAACCCATTACATACAACCCTCCACTGTTTTTAAACCCATTACACCTTCACTAGAATCATTTAACAGCTGTTAACTTGAAAATTACCACTACTTGTAGACAGTGCAATAATGCACGGCTAGTCAAATGATAGTTAGTATGAAAGAAACAAAACACATCTCCATTTTTTTGAGGAGGTAACAACATTACAGCACATCTTAAAGCTCACAGGAGTCAAATCTGTGTACTATAGGACTTTTAAATTACAGTCTACAACAGGGGTGTCAAACTTGCCCGGATCAGAAAACTCATGGCATATATTCTCCAAAAATAACAATAAGTTCAAATATTTGTGCAGAGAAACACAAATCTATTACAGAATTTTTTTTTTAATTGATGAACTCTTTCTTTTACAAAATATTGTAAGATTATGAACAACCTGAAACTTTAAGAAAACTACAATTTCAACACAATGTCTTAACATGAACTTGTTTAACATTAACTTGTATAAATAGGAATAAGTCAATTTTTGTTGTAAAATTCTGCACTCGGCTCCACTTTTCTCATGTTGGACATTTTTCTGATGAGGGTGTCACGGTCAACAGTCAAAACGATCGTCCTTTAAGAGCGTTTGGAAAGAGACAAGTCTTCATTTGTGCTGCTCTGGTGGGAGGGGCCACGTACAGAGACACTGGAGACGCTGTGATAAACACCACAGAAAATTTACAAGATTTTAATAGAAAATATAATTAAAATATTTTAGTAGAAAATCAGCAGAGGGCCAGATTAAAGGTCTTGGAGGGCTGGATCTGGCCCTCGGGCCTTATGTTTGACACCTGTGGTCTACAATATGTGCCACAATATGCACTTAAATGCACTTTTCACTAGGAAGGACCACGCCACAACAATCGAATATAATGAAGATATTTATTGATGGATATATTGATTATATATTGATGGATAGATGTGATGGCTGGAGGGAGATGTTAGGATGGGGGTACAGTCTTCAATCCAAGGGGTCGAGAGAGGTGACCCAGACTTCGGGATAGGCCGTATACATGGGGCTTCTGGGTAACTGAAGGCGTGGTCGAGATAAGATGTGGGTGGCTGAAGAGGAGGCTGAGGCGTGGTCCAGCTCTGGAATCTCAGTTAGTCATATTAACTAGAGCCCGACCGATATGGATTTTGTTGTGACCGATATGATACCGATATAATGGGAGTTGGAGCTGCCGATAGCCGATATATATTTAGTGATGTAAAAATTCACTGTATGTCTTGAATTATTAAAAAAAAAACATAGGTTTGGCTCATGTGGATTTTAAATTGGGTTTATTTAGGCAACATTTATTGTTATTCTGCCTCTTTACATGATATGTCATAGGACTAAACCAGAACTGAACCAGGGCTGAGTGTCAGGACTCGGTATCTATCTCTCTCCCTCTCTCGATCCCAAGATTAGTCCTGGTTTATTTATTTTACGCTGAATATATTTATGCAAGTTTTTTTTACCCTATGCACATGCATATTTTTGAAAGTTTCGTTCTGAGCCGCTGCCGCTGTCAAACTACCACGAGTCTGCACGCGTCGTGAAGAGAAAAAAAGTGAGAGAAAGAGAAAACACGGCTCCCAATCCCAATTAGGATCAGGCTCCCGTTGTTCTCTTCAAAGAGCCGGCTCTAAGAGTCGCTTCGTTTGCGACCAACCCATAACTCCTAGCTAGTAAATAAACATTCGCTATTAGCCTTTAGGGTTAGGCCTTAAATGCTGTATGCTGCGGTAATTAATTATATGCGCAAATTTCATCATTCACACGTCTATTCACAGCTCATTTACATATCAATGCAGGTCCAGTAACAAATATACGACCAATATAGTCACTTTACAATAGACCAATAGAAAACAGCCTGTTTATGTGCGGAAGCTACAGCAGCTAATCACTAACAAAACCTAAACTAGCTTCAAAGTTGATGTATTTCCAACACTCACCGCTCACACAGGCTCCTCCTCACATCACAACTCTGCACTAATAAAAGTCCTTTTAATCCAGACTCAAACCGATTGTCTGTAAAAAGAATATAATCTCAGTGTTGCACACATGGATCTATGTCTGTGCGTGTAAACAAACACACGTGACTCTGGTGGTGTGTTCAGGGACAGTACAGACACACACACTGACAAATGACTCCACAGATAAATACTGATGCAGAGCCACATATCAGGACATTTATCTGTCTGTAAATTGGATTAAATGAGCATAATGTAGAGAGTCTAAGATTTATAACGGGGTATAACATATCGGCCCCTATCAGCAAGCATATCGGCCGATAGCTGATATGCTTCCAGTTGCTCATATCAGCCGATAATATAGGCCAACCAATATATTGGTCGGGCTCTAATATTAACCCTGCGTTTTATTATCCTTCTGAAGCAGTTTTCTGAGGAAGCTGCCTAGCGACACGCGTGACATGCCCCTTTTCCTGGGATGGCGCAACTCGGACACTTTGGCGGTTTAAAAGACAGTTTTAGTCACTCGTATCACTGCAGTACCTCAATGCCTCCATATCACTGCCTATAGATATGATATGATATGATAAAACATACTTTTGTAGATGGTCTTGAAGCTGAAAGATGAATTAGAGACAGAGGGTGTAGTTGAGATAGGCCTGTATAAATAGGGCTTCTGGGTAATTGAAGGTGTTTTGCTGGAGAAGAGCAAGTGTAGATAGGGGGTAAGTGCAAACAGAGCTTTTCTGAGCACTCTAGTCTTAAATGCAGGACATTTAAGGGGTTACTTAACATGCAGGAATCAGTCTAAAATGATACATGAGTTACCACAGCCCCTTTCTGTATAAACACCTGCATTTTTTTTCCAGGGATTGTGGATTCTGGTGTTTGGACCACTTTTCGATTCTAAGGTATGTTAAAGACCTTTGCAGATTTTCTTTATTAAATGGCCTGTACCTGATTTCAAACTATGAGTCAGGAACATGTTTTTGAGGCTACGTTTATATGATGACGGGCTGAACAGAAGACGCAAAAGTGGCGGCGCGTCCTCACTTTTTATCCTGCGTTTAGACAAGCGTTTTTGGGAGGTAATCTGCGTGCATACGGTGATGCAAAAGTGTGTGGAATTCGAATGGGTATGCATGTCAGTTTTCTGTGTACTGTATGTATGTGATGTAAATGTGTACGTGACGTGAGCAGGTCTGACCAGAGTTTTGCATCTTGGGCAGTGTAGACAGAAACGCTACGGCGGAGCGTATTCAACTTTTCCATTATGGAGGGTGGTTTCAGAATTTTGCGTTGCCCCAAAAACACAGTCAGCGTCTAAACGAAAGACACTTCCAATAAAATATTTTGTTGTTTTTACCCACAACCATTCTTGTGTGAACAGGCCCTTATATTTGAACCTTTAGCCCCGTCCAATTTTGTCCTTTTGGCTGCTGTGACATTGCACCATGCACGGCGTATTAGTTATTACCTGAGAAAATGCTGTGTAAACTTGATTCTTTTTTTCACTCTCACAGTATTTTTTTGTATATGTACATGAAGTAATTTATTTATTTATTTTTTCCAATAGATAAAATTGATCATGTACAAAATGTGTCAGAGAACTCCAGATCAGGAAATGTAAGTACACATGTGTTTACATACACATCAATATCACGGTTATGATCTGTTTTTTTGAGTATCCCGGTTTCGTCATTGTGCATGTAAACGCAGTAACCCGGTTTAAGTATCCCGATTATAGCAGTATCCTGGTTATTAGAAACCGAGATACTGTAGCTGGTATATTCCGAAAGTAACCGAGATACTGTGGCATGTAAACGCAGTATCCCGGTTACTGCAACATAAAGTTGAGTGCACATGCGTCCAAAAGACAAAAACTTTTCAGTCTTTTCATCACAACAGTAGCGACATAAATAAAGTGACTGTACATCAGTGAAATCACTGCGCTAAACCTGCACACGTACGATCGCTGAAAAGTTAAACATGAACCATCTCCTAAACGACATGCGCACAGAACAGACTCACCATCATCAGCACATCTTCTGTCACAGAAAAAAACACACATAATCCACAGAGTCGTGTCCTTTAGTCCAACAGAAGCTGAACCGCATCAGCGGCACAAGGAAAGGATTGAGCTGTTTTTATCAGTGTTAACAGTTTATGCAAATTAGCCAGGCGGTTTTAAGTTTTGTTTCTGTAAAACGTAAACAATTGTGATCAGAGCTGAATTATCTGATCAAACAGCTGATGTGGTTCTACAGTGGTTATGGTTTATATGTTGTAAAGTTGGGTTTATTTATGGAGAAGATTTTAATAAAAAATCTGCTGCAGTGTTTGGTTTGATCAGCACAGTGGATTGTGGGATACCTCATAGCTCCATAAAACTGGTTAAACCTCCCGAGCTTGGTTGTTTGTATTTTTCCTGGTTTATTAAATTAGATAAAGTAAAATTTTGCGCTTGCACATTTGTAAGATCATGTCAAGAAACCGGGATACTCCATTTGATCATGTTCACAGGGATATGAGTGTCCCGGTTTCTCAGCGCCCATGTGTACACAGTATCCCGAATACTGACATAACTGGAATATAGGGAATAACCGGGATACTGATGTGCATGTATACACACTCATTGTTATGACTTGTTATGTTTTGACTTGTAAAAAATGAACATGCTGTATATTTATTTCTAATTATCTCCTCCACCATCACTCCCCTTTAGTCCTCCAGAGCGTAATAAAATAATGATCCAAACTAGAAATGACTAACCTTAAATTATTATTTCTGTGCAGATTGTAGAAAGCCAAGACTCAAAACTAAAGTGCAAAAAACAAGACTGTGCACGCCACTCGGAGGATCAAGATGGGATTACACTTTATTTACATTTTGCCAAAGTGGTACATTTTTGCAATGTTCTGATCATAAAGAGGGAGTATTTTACTTCCACGGGATATTCAACTGTTAACACATAATATATTTAGATCACCATGTTTGTTTTTCAGGTTTGTGAAGTTGTTGTGTACAGTTTTGCATCATGTTTTGTATATTTCTGGAGAATGGGTGATGTAGGCTTGTAAGCGGAGCGTTCCCAGAATCTTACAGCTAAATGCAAAGAGGGTTTTTTATAAAGCCCAGTAAAGATCACTAGATTCAGGAATGTTTTTGTTTTTATTATCACATGATAAAAGAATGAAATATGAATCAACACAACATTTATCTGCTCCACGCTCTGCCGGAGACTCAACTACCAACATATTCAAATTTTTGTGAGATGATATCTGGAAATTAGTGATGCGTGGGTTGGAAAACTCAATGAGAAGAAGTAAAGCCGGTGCAGGTGGGTCAGGTCCTATCATAGCAAGGTTTGGGTCGGGTCCCAATATTTGAACCCATTTCTTTGGTTTGGTTTTGGTGGGTCGGGTCTGACCTGTGCATCACTACTAGATATGCCTTGTGTCTTTTGTTTTAGAGTAATTTTTCTTGTATTTATCAATGTTATTATTTGTTTGTGTGTGTGTGTGTGTTTTAATAAACTATTAAACTTTTGTGCTTCTCTCTGAGATCTTATTGCTTAGCCTGGAATGTTGCACTGTATGGCATTAACTGCATCTATAAAGCATTTATTTAATTACACGTCTGAGGGAGAAGTCTCAGGTCTTATCGTTCTTAAATCCAGTGACAGATTCAGAGGATCCGTTGGGTCACAGCCATAATCTGTAAAGTCCATGTCTCTATCAGTGGAGGAAGAAGTTTTATTTGGGCACATGACATTTCCTGACTGGTTGTCTGGGTGATCTCTTACATCCCATAGTACAGTCCCATCAGAACCTGCAGATCCAGTCTGGTCATCACTGGGTCATGTGACCTGACTCTATAATATGTCAGTGTTGAACTCTTTCCTCTGCACTTCTCCTGCTGTGGATCTGATGCTCTCCAGACACCAGTGAAAAAGTAAGTGTCCACTTAACTCACTGTTTTAGGACAGGTTCATGTTTTTCTGACTTGGTTCGGTGGATTAAACCTGAGCTAAATATTTACCACAGTTTTGCATCACTTATTGGAGAAACTACAGGCAAAACACATTTTACAGTTTTCTGTTTTATGATCAGTTTGGTCTCGTAGCATTTACGCTTTCATGTCTATTCTGCATTGAAAGATGTTTTAATATTTAATTTAACTCATCGTTTCTTGGGCCATTGTAACTTCAAAGGGCGTTTTCTCAAAATGTATTTTTCTCCCCATGGGGACGTAAGGGTCACCCCTTAAGTTAGTTAGGGTATTTATACCATATTTCCATTTGTGAAAACCTGGACACCTTACCAGGGGTGGAGCCTCGACATTGAGCTACTCTCACCTCACAACCTGTGCACATGACCTCCCACTTGTCCCGACCGGGACGGAAAACGGAGAATTTCACATTTCCACTTCGGCATGCTGCAGTCTGACCGACTGTTTGTGTCTGCTCGCTCCTTCTGAGTGCACAGAGAGTTACAAGAGACGCTCAATTTAATAGCCCCAATGAAAGATCATGAAAACTCGGACATTTCCACCACTTAAAAAAAGGAAAAAAACAGACGCCCAGGACAGGACATGTTTGGTCACCCTAAAGTTAGCACTAAACTTTCCAATCTTTAATTAAGATTTTGACAAAATGTACAGGATTTTTTATGCAATTCCAGTCCTGATTTGATGAAGTTTAACCTCTAGAAAGTGATATCTAGTTTACTCAAATACTAAATAAGATATTCAAAACCACTCTATATTTTTTTCCTGTTTAATATACCAACAAAAAAGCAAAAAAAAAAAAAAAAAAAAATCCTGGCTCCATCTGAGATTCATATGTCCCACAAGGTTGTTTTTAGACATTGGGGGAGGATTTTAGATTATGTGAGCACCATAGACTCCTGTATTAATGGGAAACACTGTTTGCTTTAGTCTTTGTTTAAAGTCTAGTTTCTGTGTAACAGTTAAGGAACCTCTGTATGTCACATCTGCTGTCCAGAGTAAAACTCAAGTAACAAAAGTAGGAGTAAATAAAAGAGGCCAGTTGTAAAGTCAGGTGGTCTTGGCTGGACAGGTGACGGCCTCACAGCAAGAAAGTCTCAGTTTCAACTCCCCAACATGTAATTATGCTGCCTTCATGTGTTATAGGAATTATGGTAAATATGACTTGCCCCGAGGGAAATTGCAAATGAACGGCCTTGGTGCCTGAGTTTCACAGATGAAAATAACCTTCGGTGGACAACAGTGAATGAAGAAAATTTGCCTGTATAATTATGTTTCAGTAACAAGTTCAATGCACGTTTAGCCCCACTAAAGTCATTCTCACACACACAATGCCACACGGCTCTTCTCCAGATATTCCACTGCTGACCAGTTTGTGTGAACGTGTGTCCCAACTGTGTCCTCTCCAGACATGAGGTTGGAGTTTTGATGCGTTCTCTTCTTGCTGTAGCAGATGAATTAGCAAGTCTAAAGCTGTTTGACCCAAGTAACAAGTCAGAATAAACTCTGGGTCCACCAGGTTTCACTTCACTACGACAACAAAGCACTTGAACACAACACACTCGTAATTTACATTTTACAAGTGGGAAGGATGATCTTCCCCACACCACATGAAGGCAGCGTAAGACTTATTTACACCTCCAGAGCTGTTAAACAATATATCTAAACTGGGGTAAGACACATTTTCAATCAATCAATCAATCAATCAAACAAACTTTATTTATAAAACAAAATGTAACACAAAGTGCTTTACAGTGATTAAAAACAATCCCACATTTCCTTCCGCATTTCCTTTTGCTCAAATACAGGGGAGAAAATCAGATCCAGACCCTTTAAAGTAAAGTTCCACCTCTTCTGTGTTTTCTGAAGGTCATGGCCAGCAGACGGATCCTCTTGGTGATCTTAATGATGGTTTGGATGCTGGAGATACACGTCACCACTCCACAGGTAACTGCTGCCTCACACCCACAGACAGAAGTGGACTAAATGAGTGTGACGTCACCCACAGCGTTCGGCTCCAGTCAAATGAAGCTCACAGACGCTGGCAATTACGAAATAAAATAACAAAATAATAACGAAATAAACACCAGGATCACGTAACGTGTGTTAATACAAACATTTTAAGACCAAAATGATGAGGCTCACAGCAGCAGTTACAGAGAAAGCGCCGACAATATTTGTTTTATATACAGTCTGTGCTCACACCTGTAAGTCTGCACTGTGATCTGGATTTAGAACTTAAAATGTTGTGTTATTTTCATTTTGTGTTGAGTTTCACACTAATTCCCTAAAATCTGCACCAGCAGACTTTCCACGGAGCTGCCTGTCTCTACTGTTGTTATGACAACAGGAGCACGGCTCAGGAATATGGAGCAAAGAGTTTTGTCTTTTGGGTTTGACCCGATTTGGACGTCTGTCTCTGTCAGGACAGATGATGTTCCAAAATCCAAAAATAATTTCTAAATGCAAAACTCTGCGGTCCAAGCTCAGCTGCTTCATGCACAGAAAACAAAAACAGACTGGACCAAAAATTTAAGTGTTTAAGACCCCTTAGACTAGGGCACAGAACATGTTTTATCCTGTATTTATTGCAGGATAGTGTTGAGATGTCAGACTATTCCCATGCCGCGATTACATGTGTTTGAGTTTGCATTAACTACAAACTTTTACCACTGGGATTTATAAATTTATCTCCCCTAATATGAAGTCAGTTTTCATCAAATAAAACAGTTTGTAGAGTTTAAAACATGAAGAATTGAGTTATGACTTAGAATCTCTTTACAGTAGTTATATAACTTAATATAACTGTAAGAAACTTAATAAATGTTGGCACATTCAGGTAGGTGATCAAAGGAGCTGTCCGTGCAAGGAGGGAAGGCGGAGTTTAGACACACGGTGCAGGAGAAGCGCTGCTGATTGTGTCCATGGAAATGTAATAAGATCTTATAGTAGATCCATAATTGTATCTGATCAATGAGCAAAGACTAAGAAAACTGTCCCACACAAAACTCAACTGACAAAGTCAAAATCCTGGGCATTTTGGGGTCATATAAAAAATTTATTCTGGTCATTTTTTTGAGTCCCAAAAAAGAGGACGTAAATCTACCTTGTGTAAAATGCTGTAAATCTGACTTCTCCTGAACTTCTTCTGACCTTTTTAGAACTTACCTGGGAGTGGACTGAGCTCGAATCTGTTGGTTCTTCTCCAAGGTCAGTGTGATATTTAGTCTCTGCGTGTAGAACTTTAGAACCTCATGTCTCTTAGCAGCAAGGGCTTTTTTCCCTGTAGTTAACACTTTTTTGTGGGGTTTTGTGAAGGTCTTTTGAAGGTCAGAACCAGAGCTGTAAAGAACACAGCCACTCGGACCTCACCGCTTCCTAGGGCCGCAATCAAATTTGACACCATATTTGACCAAATGTGCAGTTTTATTCAGTGCAGCAACTTGCCGACTTAAATCAGCAGTGGCGTCAATGAACAAACCCCTGTGAATACACACAAACTTACTTCCCTGTTAGACATAGTGTTCTTTTCTTTCACCTGTGGTTAAATACACTGTGAGGACTGTACAGGCTGGTGACAGCAGAGAAAAAGCTTTTTTGAACGAGACACAGACTCACAGCAGACCCAGACTCACCTGCAGACCCAGACTCACCTGCAGACACAGACTCACCTGCAGACGACACAGACTCACCTGCAGACACAGACTCACCTGCAGACACAGACTCACCTGCAGACAGACAGACTCACCTGCAGACACAGACTCACTGCAGACACAGACTGCAGACCAGACACCTGCAGACCCAGACTCACCTGCAGACACAGACTCACCTGCAGACAGACACAGACTCACCTGCAGACAGACACAGACTCACCTGCAGACACAGACTCACCTGCAGACACAGACTCACCTGCAGACAGACACAGACTCACCTGCAGACACAGACTCACCTGCAGACACAGACTCACCTGCAGACCCAGACACCTGCAGACAGACAGATCACCGAGACAGACTCACCTGCAGACACAGACTCACCTGCAGACAGACACAGACTCACCTGCAGACACAGACTCACCTGCAGACACAGACTCACCTGCAGACACAGACTCACCTGCAGACACAGACTCACCTGCAGACAGACACAGACTCACCTGCAGACAGACACAGACTCACCTGCAGACACAGACTCACCTGCAGACACAGACTCACCTGCAGACACAGACTCACCTGCAGACACAGACTCACCTGCAGACACAGACTCACCTGCAGACAGACACAGACTCACCTGCAGACAGACTTGCCAGACGGAGGCAGGTGCAGACTTGCCACTGATTTTAAGTTGATCCAAACTGCTTCCTCAGACTGTGTCAAAACAACCTGATAAAGACAGATGTGGTTTTAAAACTGTGGATGGAGCAAAAGATAAAAAAGTTTTTTGCGCAGGGCCCTCAGAGATGTGAAATGAAAGATAAACATATTTGTATAGACATAAACAGAATTTGTATATGCCAGCACATGTGCAAAACAGAAAAAAAAAAGAACAAAACACTTTTCATAAATGACCTGATCAATGCTGTTTATCATTTACAGGAGTAATATGGGTCTCCGGCACTACTAATGTTCGATATCCTAATCCTCCTCGTCCTCCTCATCCTCCTCCTTTTCGTCGTCGTCTTCGTCCTCCTACTCCTCCTCCTCCTCCTCCTCCTACTCCTCCTACTCCTACTACTACTCTTACTACTACTACTCCTACTAATACTACTACTACTACTACTCCTACTAATACTACTACTAGTACTCCTCCTCCTACTACTCTTACTACTACTACTCCTACTACTACTACTTCTACTACTACTACTCCTACTACTACTCCTATTACTACTACTACTACTAATGCTACTACTCCTCCTCCTACTACTACTACTATTACTACTATAACTACTCTCACTACTACTATTACACCTACTACTTACATTGGAAGCACTG